GTTGAAAAAAGATACTATGTTTATGTGCGGGTCATGTGAACGTGTGTACTCAACATTCCCCCTAATAAACCATTTAGTGAGGTATTCCTTTCATGTTTCAGCTTCAGGCACAGATGGCACAACATCAGGGGGAGGTATCTAGCAAAGGTATAGCTTGTTAAGGGGACGGTCTTGCAAAGAAAGTGTGTATAGTTACATGTTTAATATAAAAATAAATATTATATACTATGGGGCGCCTCTTTTTTTTGAAAAATGATCGGTGAATTAACATCAACTGAAAGTCATTGGTCTACTATACTTACACTCTACTGGAATGGAGCAATAAATATTGAGATGATACAACATCCATCTTTTTGCAGGTACTTGCCAACTTTCAACTCTGTAGCTGTCGTAGTTTTATGGGAAAATGGACACATGTGTCCAAGTTGCCAAACATTAATGGATGTATAGATGGATTCTCTATTCCGCTTTTGTTGCTGTACACTCCAGAATTTCAAAGATGAGGAAACAGTGCGCACGTCAAGTAATTGGAAACCTCACTTGTTTAAAATGGCGTCTTAGAAGACGGACTTTCCCAAGAATAGGTCTAGATCTAAACGAAACTAATGAAAAACTGAACATTAAACTACATTGACTTCAGGCTCCTCAATAAAACTATGCACCCTTTAAATGATTCTGAACAACCATTAATTTTGTCAAATTCGAAAGTTAAGAGATTCGGAAGTTTTAGGACGCCAAAGGGATGAATTTTCACAAATATAATACATAGAGATAAATATAATATTATTATGTTTTTGGTGACTATTAAGTCTTGATACCATGTTCATGTACATCTGAAGATGTGTACGCCATAGTCCGCCTTACATAAACCATTTATTGATGTATTCTCTTTATTTTTCAGCTTCAGGCTCAGGAGGCACAACATCAGCAGGTAGGTATCTTAGCAAAGGTATAGCTATGGTTAAGAGACGGTCTTGCAAAGAAATTGTGTATAGTTACATGTTTAATATAAAAATAAATATCATATACTAGCTGGGCCCCTTTTGTTGAAAGGAATGATCGTTGAATTAACATCAACTGAAAGACATTGGTCTACTGTACTTACACTCTACTGGAATGGAGCAATAAATATTGAGATGATCAACAAATTAGAAGGTTTAAATCTATACTCTCAAAACAAAATGTGCCTCGCGAAATATCACTTCCGTCACTTCCTCTGTGAAGGACAGCTACGCAGATTTGTTCCGTTTCTCAGTGGAATAATCACAAAGGCCAAAGAAGGACGGGAACATTTAGTCAATATATTTTTCTAAATTCAGGAAGTGAATAAATAAAAATTCAGGCTACGTCATGGGGGTCTATCCATCTTTTTGCAGGTACTTGCCAACTTTCAACTCTGTAGCTGTCGTAGTTTTATGGGAAAATGGACACATGTGTCCAAGTTCCCAAACATTAATGGATGTATAGATGGATTCTCTATTCCGCTTTTGTTGCTGTACACTCCAGAATTTCAAAGATGAGGAAACAGTGCGCACGTCAAGTAATTGGAAACCTCACTTGTTTAAAATGGCGTCTTAGAAGACGGACTTTCCCAAGAATAGGTCTAGATCTAAACGAAACTAATGAAAAACTGAACATTAAACTACATTGACTTCAGGCTCCTCAATAAAACTATGCACCCTTTAAATGATTCTGAACAACCATTAATTTTGTCAAATTCGAAAGTTAAGAGATTCGGAAGTTTTAGGATGCCAAAGGGATGAATTTTCACAAATATAATATATAGAGATAAATATAATATTATGTTTTTGGTGACTATTAAGTCTTGATACCATGTTCATGTACATCTGAAGATGTGTACGCCATAGTCCGCCTTACATAAACCATTTATTGATGTATTCTCTTTATTTTTCAGCTTCAGGCTCAGATGGCACAACATCAGCAGGTAGGTATCTTAGCAAAGGTATAGCTATGATTAAGAGACGGTCTTGCAAAGAAATTGTGTATAGTTACATGTTTAATATAGAAATAAATATTATATACTAGCTGGGCCCCTTTTGTTGAAAGGAATGATCGGTGAATTAACATCAACTGAAAGACATTGGTCTACTATACTTACACTCTTCTGGAATAGAGAAATAATTATTGAGATGATACAACAAATTAGAAGGTTTAAATCTATACTCTCAAAACAAAATGTGCCTCGCGAAATATCACTTCCGTCACTTCCTCTGTGAAGGACAGCTACGCAGATTTGTTCCGTTTCTCAGTGGAATAATCACAAAGGCCAAAGAAGGACGGGAACATTTAGTCAATATCTTTTTCTAAATTCAGGAAGTGAATAAATAAAAATTCAGGCTACGTCATGGGGATCTATCCATCTTTTTGCAGGTACTTGCCAACTTTCAACTCTGTAGCTGTCGTAGTTTTATGGGAAAATGGACACATGTGTCCAAGTTGCCAAACATTAATGGATGTATAGATGGATTCTCTATTCCGCTTTTGTTGCTGTACACTCCAGAATTTCAAAGATGAGGAAACAGTGCGCACGTCAAGTAATTGGAAACCTCACTTGTTTAAAACGGCGTCTTAGAAGACGGACTTTCCCAAGAATAGGTCTAGATCTAAACGAAACTAATGAAAAACTGAACGTTAAACTACATTGACTTCAGGCTCCTCAATAAAACTATGCACCCTTTAAATGATTCTGAACAATCATTAATTTTGTCAAATTCGAAAGTTAAGAGATTCGGAAGTTTTAGGATGCCAAAGGGATGAATTTTCACAAATATAATATATAGAGATAAATATAATATTATGTTTTTGGTGACTATTAAGTCTTGATACCATGTTCATGTACATCTGAAGATGTGTACGCCATAGTCCGCCTTACATAAACCATTTATTGATGTATTCTCTTTATTTTTCAGCTTCAGGCTCAGGAGGCACAACATCAGCAGGTAGGTATCTTAGCAAAGGTATAGCTATGATTAAGAGACGGTCTTGCAAAGAAATTGTGTATAGTTACATGTTTAATATAGAAATAAATATCATATACTAGCTGGGGCCCTTTTGTTGAAAGGAATGATCGGTGAATTAACATCAACTGAAAGACATTGGTCTACTATACTTACACTCTTCTGGAATAGAGAAATAATTATTGAGATGATACAACAAATTAGATGGTCTTTTAAAGAAATTGTAACAGGAGTGGGTTTGTGGGGTAAGGAGGGGGGTTTGCAACTGGATTTTTAAACCTTTTTTTTTCTCTGTTTACCTTGTTTACGACGGTGAGTAGGGGAGTGAGTGAGCGTGCAGGCGCTCCACTCTCTGCTCTGTGGTTGTTGTTTTTTTGTCGATTTTAGATAAATTTTCGCTACAGCTTGGATTATTTTCTATACGTGCTTATTCAGGAATTTTCAAAGCATCTATCTACATCAAAATCATGACATTTGCTACTAGATCTGGCCGGCAATTCTCTAATTTCGTGGTCATGTTGGAGCTCATTGCCTTCTACTGTAAGTTTCTATTCCTCGTTTTTCACCATGAGTTGCAACAACAACAACAAAAACACCAGCCAAAGGTAAACAAAGCATGTATACATGACGTGTACAACTACGAACTATCGGACTGAACAGCCGGTTACTCTACCGTTTTACGTTATTGACAAGTGTGCTGATTTTGGCATATTAGAACTCATTCCAAGACAAGACCCCGCCCCGTCCACCTCACCCTGCCGTAGTAAGACCCGACGGATAGCAAGAAGGGGGAGGTGAACACGTTGCACGATTCAAGTTGTAATAACCCAGCGTGTTGAAAATGTGTACTCAGAGCCCGAGTTTCCCCACTATGACTGTGTTACTAGAAGTAAACACAGAAACAAAAACAATGAAGTTTTCCTTTCGGTGACTACAAATAAAAATGTCAACAATAACAACCTTATTAGAGTTGAGTGTAGAAACGTCGTACAAGAAGGAGTTCCGTACTACCGCACCTGTTGTATAAACGCCCAGTCTTGTAGAAATAAGACTGTAATGATTAATGACACCATCGAAGAACTGAACATAGACATTTTGTGTATAACAGAAGCTTGGTTACACAAAGAAAGTGATGAACACGTATTAGTCGAAATATGTCAATCAGGCTATGAGATAAAACCCTTTCCACGCAAGAACAGAGAAGGGGGAGGCATAGCCTTTATTTTTCGCTCCACCGCATCACTACCTAAAGCCAAGGAATGGCTAGCAACATCATGCACATCGTTTGAAGCTGCTTCCATAAACTTTGTGACTGATAACAAATATAATCTTACAATTATATGTCTCTATCGCCCTTCAAAGAGCAAACGTAATGTTGTGAATTTAGAAACTTTTTACATAGAATTCAACCAACTCGTATGTTGTTTAAGGCAGAGAGGTCAACGATTTATGATTTGTGGCGATCTGAACATACACTACGACAACCAAACATGTGCAAATACAAGAAAATGTATGTCTATTCTAGAACAGCACAATCTTATTCAATATATTTCTCTGCCAACGCAAAAGCATGGACATACACTTGATCTGATCATCACGCCGAATAATACACCTCTTTTCAAGAACATAGAGGTCAAAGACAAGGGTATCTCGGACCACCTATTACTTGTAGCTGTTTTGAACCTCAGTAAACCAAACACCGTATCAAAACGTGTTCAGTCTCGTAACAAGAAACAACTCGACGTCTCATCTTTTAAATCGGATATAAACTTCGTTCTCAGTTCTAAGCCTGACACCTCTGTGTCAATTCTCTTCAGTTCTGCGCAATGAATTGGACAAACATGCTCCCGTAGTCACTCGTAAGATCTCACCAAGATCAGCTTCTCCGTCGTTTACTCTCGAGATCAAAGAGGCCAAAAAACAACGAAGGAAAGCGGAGAGACAGCTTAGAAAGACGGGCCTCCACGTCCACGAACAGATTTTGGCAACTGAACGAAACAACGTCAACATCCTGATTGAAAACAACAAGAAACAATTCTATCTTAACAAATTTCAAAATGGAAACTACTGCAAGGAACATTTTCGATTATCTGATCAATTATTGGGAAGGGAGAATTGTACTCGGTTTCCACCTGGAACTGATAAAGAACTTTGTTGTAATTTTCTGCACTTTTTCAATGATAA